ACGTTTTTGCTTTCATAGACGGCACCAAGAACCGCATTTGCCGGCCCTCGTCTCGCCCTGGGCGCGGAGAAAACCTTCAGAAGCAGGTGTATTCGGGCCACAAGCGCGCTCATTGCCTCAACTACCAAGCAGTGGTCGCCCCCGATGGGCTAACCCTGCATTTCTGGGGGCCGATGGAGGGTCGGCGGCATGACAGCACGCTGCTGCGTGAGAGCAAACTTATGAAGTATATGGAGGAGCGAGCCTCCATATTCGATGGGTACGTTTTCTACGGGGATCCGGCTTATGGAATACGCAAGTTTCTATTGTCAGGTTTTCGAAAAACGGCGCCGACGGATACCGATCAGCGCTTCTTAAGCTCATGAGCTCTGTCCGAGAAGCTGTTGAATGGCAATTTGGTAGCATGAAATCATTGTGGGCATTCATTGACTTTAACAAGTCTCTCCGTCTGCGACTGAGTCCCATTGGTAAGTATATGCTTGTGAACATGTTGCTCACAAACTGTCACTGCTGCTATAATGGAGGCAACCAAATTAGCGCCTTCTTCGGCTTGGCACCACCCTCTCTAGATGCATACCTAGCTAAGTGAACGTCAAACCTCGCTAAATAAACGTCATTTGTGTATCCCTTTCAATCACCTTTATTTGCTTTAACAACTGCAAGCACAGCATCACCTATCACGCTGACAAGGCGGAGCATTTGCTTGTTCGCCTCTCGGCGGGCTCGAGCTGCTTCATCGAGGTCTTCTTCTCGTTCTCGTCGGCGGCGTTCAGCTTCCAGCTCCCGCACCTCTTGTCTCTCCGCCAGCTCCTTCTCCTTGAGCGTGATTAGGAGATCCTTCAACTCCGTCTCCTTGCGCTTCTTGACGGGCGTGCTGTCGTCTTCGCTCTCTTTAACCAACTCCATGGCAAGTCGACGCGCGACAAGCGACAAGCGACGTCTCCTCCTCGCGCTCGCGCTTTCGGAGCTCGGTCTCCTTCGCGGCGGTCGTCTTGGTTGCGTGGTCGTCAAGCATTGCCACCAGGTCGTCAAGCAGGATGACCTTTTCCGACTCGTCTTCGTCTACGCCCGACGCCTTCGCCGGCTCCTCCGCTGCAGCACGGTGGGCCTCGACTAGCTTGTCGAAGCGCCCGCTGGCCGTCTTGCCACTCACCTTGTTGCGTGGAAAATTCTCGTCTACAACAAGCTTAGTTGCAAGGGCATCCCACGCTGCCATGATGCCACCTCGCTGCCGGAGGAATGGGCGGTCCGCGTGGATTTGACGCAGCTGAGCCAGGTCTTCATCGTCTGTGAAGTTCTTGCGGCGCGGCGCTCCAGCCATGGTCCTTAAAGGAGATCTGAAGGTGCTGCACTCGTGGCCACGAGTGGTGTCGGTTGTGTGAACCACACGTGTTTGGTGGAGAAAGCTGTCTCCACAATCGCGATTTCTGTGGACTCCAATCCTCACTGCTGGCCCCACTGGACCGTCTCTCGACTGTTGTTTTTTTTGGCTTTGTGGGGATAATGTGCGGGTGGAATGACTTGCGAAAAGTCTCTAATGTTGGAAGTGCGTAGGCAAAATGACCAGGTTTTAAACCAATAACAAATAGTTTAAACTTTTTTCCGTTTGATTCGCGATTATCCGAGGATGACCAATCCATAATAAGGTCTCAGGTCGCTAGCAAGCATTAAAAATACATGCTATCGTTCCAGAGAATTGGGCTGTGCCCTACAGCAAGTGCTGGTTTGACTGATCGAATGTACAAAACACCCACGTTCCTGAGAAAGCTGAAACCAGCGACCGTGAACACGACCTCGCGATCAGACGCGGCAATCGCTCCGTAGTCGGCGTACGAACCCATTCGCCTTCTCACTTGTGTCGCAGGGGACGACCATGTGGTTACTAAGTCTCAGCCTGGGCTGTTGTCTGTGCGTGTGTTGTTGTTGCTGCTGCTGCTTCGCCGGCCTCTTCGATGAGGGCAAGATGTCCCAATACCAACCGTGGGGCGATCATAGCTTGTCCTACACCAGTAGAGAACAAGACCACCACGTTAAATGTCATGTACCAGGAAAGCTTAATGCTTAAAAATGAGTACTATCAAGCAAAATTGACAAAATTTACTACTGGCCCTGCCACAAAACCTGGTCATTTCCGCTTAAG